TTGGCCAGTCGCAAGAGTTGAAAACCTGGTCAGCTGCAAGCAAGTCTTAATGAAAATGTCCAACGGCAGTCTGAGGAATGTCTCCATGCTCTGAAGAACTTTCTCTTGTATTCAGCCTTACGTCCTCACGGCTAACCAGTTGCACCCCCTGGAAAACTCCCCCTTGAGACTCTTTGAAAAACGCATCAGGGTGTGGCCCTTACGCCTCTTCTTCCATTCACTCCTGACTCTTTGCTGCCATTTCGTTTTTTCATAGTCCACATTTTGTGTTTCAGGTTGTTCTGTAATGGCGTGAGCAGTTTGAGTAGGAGAGTAAACCCATACTTCAGTAGCACCAACATATCGGTAGCTACTAGCTTGCCCTCGAGGAGCACAGGACTCGTGCAATACTGTTGTGCTAACAGTGACTGTTGTTAATTATTAATCAGAGTTCCATATTTTGAGACTATATCAATATTGGCTGTCCTTCCCTGCATAGGGTGGTGGCTTGAGGATAACTCAAGTATTAATTTAGGTTATTGTTAAATATTTAGTTGACTTCTGATAATAATTGATAAGCTGAGGTCTTCGGTCCTGAGCACTCTGGAGCAGGTTTTCATGTGTATTTTGCTCCATTCAGCTTTCCCTCAACCCTGACCAGACTCCCTGTCCCTGCTGCTGAAACCCCCCAGTCTTGTTTCTCTCAGTCTCAGAGTCCTTAAGCTGCTTTTTAGCAAAGTGACTTCCATGTTTCCTTTACTGAGGAGAGGCTTCTGTCTGGCTGTAAAGCCCAGATCAGTGGAGAGCTGCAGTCATGGTTGTCCCTCTCGAAGTTTCACCCATTTCAACACAGGATCTCTGGAGGTCAGACTATCGGGTTCCGTTCTCCATGATTGGTCAGTTTGGCCAGGGGGCCGGCTCTTGGAACAGTCCTGGTTGTTCCAAAGTTCTTCCATTTACAATGATGGAGGCTACTGTGCTCTTAGGAACTTCAACGCAGCAGAATATTTTTTTTGTAGCCTTCCCTAGACCTGAGCCTCGACAAAGTCCTATCTCTGGGCTCTGCAGCAGTCCCTCAACCTCATGGTTTCTGCTCTGATCTGCATTGTCAGCTGTGAGACCTCATATGTACAGGTCTATGCCTTTCCACTCCAGTCAATTGAATTTGGATTGGACGTGATTTGACTCCAATTAAAGTGTAGAAACATCTCAATGAAGATCAAGAGAAATGGGAGGCACCTGAGCTGAATTTGTGTCATAGTGACGGGTCTAAATACTTATGTCAGTGTGATACTTGAGTTTTTCCTTTTTTTGTATCACTTATCTTCATTGATTCTTAACATTGTACATCACGTTACTAGAGTGGTTTGGATATCTTTCAGGTTTTTCCTTGAAACAACTTTCCCCTCCTTCCCTCCCTCCCAACCCCTCGCCAATGAACTGCCATCAGCTTTTATGACAACAAGATTAATGGTTTACAAAATGATAATACATTACATATAAACATATATCAGCGTGTATATGTGAGTACTTACATACCTGTTAATCAAAATAAATAATAGAATTTTTTTATTTTTTTATAAAAATTGAAAATCATAGTCTTATTAAATTAAAATTTAAGAAATTAGGTAGCAATGAATCCCATATTTTATGAAAAATGACTTTTTTGTTTGATCATGTATGTGAACCTTTCAACTGGTATGCAAGAAGAAAGTTAATTGATCCAAAGACCCCAAAAATGGTCCACACTTTTCCAATGTATTGCAATAAGAAGTTTCTCTTGTAATAGGCAGAGATATACCAACTTACTTCCATGAGTTCTTATGGACAATGCTTTTGGAAAAAGTCCAAGAATACAAATCTCTGGGAGTACAGGGGTCTTTCTGTGGATTTTGTTGGAAATTGTGTTAATTATTATAAATATGTTGTTTAAAATATGTTAAATATTTTAATTATATCTTTCCAAAAATTCAGTGTATATGTGACCCTCCACATGCAGTGGAATAGATAATATTCAGAGTTTTTCCTTTTTAATAAATTTGCAAAATTGTCTAAGATTCTGTTTTCAGTTTGTCATTATGAGGTATTGCGCTAAGATTGATGAGAGAAAAAACAAATTTAAACGATTTTAGCTCAAGGCCGCAACATAAAATGTGAAAAATGTGAAGGGGTCTGAACACTTTCTGTTTGAACACTGTGTTTTTGTCGAAAAGGTTCGGCCTCCCGCAGTAACACCAACGCTCCCTCTGTCTGTGTGCATGATCAGTTGCCAGTGAAACAGGTCTTGTGCTCCGAGCACATGTGGTGTTTTGATGTTGTGAGCGTGCGACAAATTTAATGAACGATGAACTGCTCAAAGAAGGACTCTGACTTGAAAACTGTCTCTGCTGGAGAAAACATCTTAAATCCCACGTGGAGTTAAAGGGCAGCGCTGTATAAAATGTATTTCTCCTGCATACTGGCAGCAGCTGGGTATTAGCTGGACTGTATTTCTGAACTCTTCCAGATTCTTCCAGAACTCTTTGAGGCATTTAACAAAGTATTAACTCAACTTTCACCATAACCACTTACAAAATACACACATTGTATTTATCATTTAAGAGTTTCTCCTGTGTGAACTGCTCTCTGTTCTGCAGTGTGCATTTTATTCTTCTATTCTTTGTTTACATGATATTGTATGTATCCTTCTTGGTATGTGAATGCATGGTACAGATGAAGGCTAGTTTAGTAATGTATGTGAAACACTGCTGGTATGACTGTGCAGAGTGATGGTGGAGATGATTTGTTTTGTTTTTTTACAGAAGTCTTTCTAAATATTCTGAAGATATTTCAGCAGATGTGCAGAGAATAAATACTTCTCAGTTGCAATGCAAAACCTGTGTTTGCTTGCTTTATTTGGATGGAGTCATTTTACTTTGAGTGTGGAGCAATTACTATGGCGAAAAGTCAAATGTTCAGATAATTGGAAAAATGTTTATACTTTCCCTGCATACAGTCCTTTTCTGATTTATCTCTCATGCCCTGCATTGTTAAATTTTCCCTCTGTCCTTGTCTTCCATTCTACTCCCACTATACTGTGTGTAATCTGGTTCTTTCCCATGCAATGTTCTCTCCACACTCATGCATTTGCTTTGGTTGAACTCACTCTGCCAAAAGCTTTCTGAAGCAGACAGCCTTTTATAACCTTGACAGAGGTAAGCTTGCAAACAGAGGTCACATTAGCCGTCCCATCGAGCTTAACACATCCCAAAGCATGCCGATCTCAATCTGAAGGCCAACGTGCACTGTCATTTCTTTTCTTTTTTTTTTTTTTGCTGTTTCAGATTCAACCAAACTTTATGAATGAATGAGTGAGCTCTGTGATGCATGCACTGTTTGTGAACATTTGAAAATCTTTTCCTCTTCCTCAGGTGTTTGTTATTTATTTTCAAAGCGCATGTGAGTAATTTCGTGCAGTGTGTTATTCAATCTTGGGCGTGTTTCTGAGACAAAAGAAGTGAATCAGAGCTGATACCATGCTTGGTAATACAATACTCACATGTCTTATGTACAATGAAAGAGGTATTAGTCACTGTAAAATCAGCTCCTGTCCATGCTGGCTGTAAAGAGTTCCCTTTTCAGCGAGTGTAAGGAATGCGGTATGAAGTAAACAGCCGCTCTGTATACATGAATACATTCCAGATTTTAGCAGAAGTTAACGAGGCTTCAGCAGTCTGAGTTAGACTAATAAAGAGCTATTGTGAAAAAAAAAAAAAAGATCTACAGAATTCTCAAACACCCTGTCCCTGTTGGAGTACATGGCACAGCCTGTTGCGCTTATACATTGAAATTTGAACAGATAATTACAGATCAATTATTTCCAATTTCCAAGTTTGAGCAATGGACGAATAAATTTAGATATAATAAATGAATAAATAAATATTGAATAAAATGGCAGCACTAGTACGTTCCAAAGTTTGTCTTTCCTTGCTCAGATCATGCAGATGCATAATTATGCAATAATGCAGACTATGCAGGTGTTTCGTCTCTTTGCCCATTTATTGGATTCCCTTTTCCTAACCCTAAGCAGAAGGGAGAGAATAGAAAAGTCGTTTGCGTGAGACGTCCTGCCACTCCTACCAGTAGGTCTGCTTTATAACAACACTGATGCATGCAAAACCTGTGGAGAACAGGTGTTTTAAACTTTATTCTGGGGCAAAGTCACCAAAGTCATTCTATAAATTATGTTTTTATGTTTATCATTGACAACTAAACTTTGCCCTGGACCCAACCTTTGTGATAACCTCTGCCTGTGTGGTGCCAGATCATAACTTAACATTAACCTAAACGAACTTAAACCTAAACTAATCCCAGCCAAGATCAGACGTTGCTACAGGAAACGTTGGAAAGGGACCTGGACAAAACAAAGGCAGTAAAACCTTCTAGGGCAAGGATGAAGATAACCATTTCATTTGTCCAACTCAGACTGCTGAAGATTCATATTAGCTTCAGTTTATATTATAGATCCCTTCACCTCCATCTAGTTCCATAGACCTGTTCTGTATGAAAAGCGCACTGAGATAACTTCTGTTATGACTCAGCACTACATGAATAAAATTGACTTCATTTTGTACCTTTAACTGTTCATGTTTAGTGTCAGTTAGAAAATGCAGCTGGCGTTACAGAGTGAGGACTTGATTTTGATTAGATTTTCACTAGGAAGCTTCTTAGCCAAAGTGGACAGAGGGAATGATTACAGCAACAAATAAGTCTTTCAACATACATAAAGCAAGTGAGTATTCAGTATAAAATCTGTACCTAGTATTTCATTTAAATCTCAAGGGTGTTTTTTTTTTAGTTTGGGTAGTTTTACTTGTGTCTGAGAAACTAGCCCAAAAAGCTAAACCATAGTAATGCAGTTTTTTAGCACTGTCATCACCTGTGTGTCATAGTTGTGACTGATAGTTGCATGTAGGTGATTCACATTCGGTCCTTTTGGGCTCGGCTCATTTCACCTCAGAACTTCACTGTGTCTTCTCCAGGGAATCGAGCGTCTGAAGGGAGAGACGGGGAAGTGGGGGAAGGTGCCATGTTGGGAGGCGGTGCAGACGGCGTTTGGAGGCCCGTTCTCTCTGTCCTGGTGCAGCCCCTTCACAGGGCTGAGCTGCAAGAAGAGCCCACCCGAGCACGTCACCATTCCACAGGGGGAGATCATTGAGGAGGACGTCATAGAGATACCACTCAACTAGCTCTGCAGTCTGACAGAGCTTCTACGCAAGCACATTTAATCCCTTTGGAATTTGTGGACAAGAGACATTTCCAAGTTTTTCTACGTAGCAAGAAAACACTTGGACTTGGAATTTATATTTATATATTTTATTTTTTATCTCAAAGACTTCTTATCTACGTGAACATATCACATTCGACACGTCCACTTCTCTCCCAGCGGATTGCAGCCATTTGCAAGGTATACAAGGGAAGCAAACTTCTTGTGAATACATTTACCAAACCTCAGTATCTTGTCCCTTTATAAATGCACTGTCATTGCACACACTGTAAAGAGAATCTAACACTTTGTGGAAATTATCTTTTAATGCTTCACTCACGCTGCCACACCTGCAGTATTTCCCTGAAATCTTTAATATATATAATCAAACTATGTGGTAAAGTAAAGGAGCGGGAAGGATTCAGAGCTCAAGGAGGATGATTGACTTGAAAGCGTCTCAGGAGAACTTCACTAACACAGTAGCACTACTCCGCTGCCTTTCTCTGAGGATTTGAATTCACCTTGTGCCTTATCAGTCTTTTATGAACAAATACTTAAGCATGACACACTTTGTTATTGTTCAATGACCCATCTTCATTCTGTGATCTGTGTCTGGAGTCTTTATTACTCGTGAAAAAAACAGATGGTGACTGACTTCATGTTGATGAGGTTGCTGTGTGATTGGGCGAGCTAGAAAACGGCTGCTAGACAAGGGCTTTTAACTGTAAATGGGTGCTGGATATCATGGGGCCACTCAAGTTTTATCATGTTTACATTATTTCAACAAACTGTTATATCACTGTGTGTGGGTTTCATTTTTTACTTCTAAAATAAATTGGCAGTTCACATGGAAATCTGAATATTACAAATAGTACCATCTGTAAGAGTTTGGCTGTTGTAACAATCATCAAAGAAACAGAATTGATTGAATTTTTACAAACTCAGCTGCAGTTTTATAGCTCAAAGGGTATTTACAGTAAAATCCAAAAAGTTAGAAGGATCAAGCAAGACATTATTCATACAGCACATTTAATTCCAGGTGGAAGCACAATGTGCTGCACAAAGCCTGAGTTATCAAGGAGGTTGCAACAACAAAAACTATGTGGATAGAGTGAAGATAAAACATTAGACACAAATTAAAATGTGTCAAAAAACACAAATGATGCGAATGAATTAAAAACCAGAAAATAAAATAATTAACACCAACAACCGATCAGTAGGTGTCAAGGTGTGTAAAATAAAACTATAAAAAAGTAGAAATAAAATGTGATTAAAAATGATAAAAAGTCTGAAAAGGCTGCCCTAAGTTGCTGATTTTAGACGGATTGTGATAATAATAATAATAAATAATAATAATAATCAATCTTTATTTATAGAAACCCACGTTACAAAGTGTTTTACACAAGGCAGCAAAATAAATCATGCAGGTCGATTAAGGCAACATTTAAAACAAGCAATCAGAAATACAATTAAAGTGTCTTAGTGCAAATAGACCAAAAGAAGTGTCACCAGCAAGAGATCTGTAAAAATGAATACAACTAAAAATAAAAAGTTGTCAATAAAAAAAATAAATAAAATAAAATAAAATAAAAAATCAGGAAAAGCTCTATGATAAAAGTCTGTTTCAGAAGAGATTTAAAGAGGTCAGCGATCCTGCTGAGCTGATTTCCTCAGGCAGCTCCTTCCAGAGTCTCGGGCTCTGACTGTGAAACTCTGTCACCTCTAGTTTTGAGCTTAGCTACGTGTGACATTCATGGCTGCCAAGAGTAAAACCACTAACTTGCATACTTTATACTGGTGCATAAAAAGTATTCTGCTACCCATATGTTCTTCAAGGGTCTTTTTAATACAGCAAACAGAATTCCTCAACTCAAAAGAATAATTTGTGATTCTGGGGAATTTGGGGACTAGTCATGTCTGTACTGGAGATGCTCTTAACAATTTATTTCCCTGTCAATTAAACGTCAATTTAAATTTAGACTATTTGACTAGTCTAACTAGGATTATCGCCTTGTGGTTATTTCCTCCGCCAACCAGCCAAGCTGCAGGAAATACGGTCACAGTGTTACAGCACTGAGTAATGACCAGAAGTGTTCTTGCAGTACATTATGATGTCAGAGTGAAGTTGACCTTTGACCATTTGGATACAAAATGTCATCACTTCATGTTATCCTTAAGGACATTTGAAACTGTGTCATAATTAGTGAATGAATTTGTGAGTTGTGGCCAAAAACCTGTTTTGTGAGGTCACAGTGTGACCTAAGTCATGAATTTCCCTTTGGGCATTCCTTATATATTACACGACCATTAGATCAACGTGATGTTGAACTTTGACCATCAAAATGTAATCAGTTCATCCTTGGGTCCTAGTGAATGCTTGTGCCAAATTTGAAGATGTTCCATAAAGGTGTTACTGAGATATTGTGTCCACGAGGACGGGATGGACAGACAACCTAAAAACAATGTCTCCAGCTCTGACTGTCGCTGAAGCGGAGGAATAACACCCAGGAAAACAGTTCATATTAAGTTCTGTTATCTCCTCAGACCTAGCGGTATCACAGTGTCAGGTAAACAACGACACATTGGTTGGCCGAGTGTGGCCAACGGTAGCAGTGCTAACACCAGCAGCCTTCTTTCCTTGCAGGTTAACCTCCACATACCTGTGCTGAATGTGGTTACGCATGGCTCAGGTCGAGTTATACACCAGTTTATTCTGACACAGACACATACAGCCTCATTTTCATTCTATACATCAAATTACTTCCACACTGTGCTGGTTTTCAGGGAGAAGAGCGCTGCCATCTGTTGCAGCTGCAGCTCCATGCTAGTGGTGGGTGGCTGTTTAACATCTTAGACACAACAGTTAACCAGAGTTGTACATTAATAAAATACTAGTAATTAGATTAAACTTTTAAAACAAGTTTCCTTTTACGTTTGGACTGAGTCAAGCTAGCTGTTTCCCCATGCTTCCGTTTTTATGCTAAGCTACCTGTTTGTTGTAGCCTTACATTCACCAGACACTGTGGCATCAATCTTCTCATCTAGTTCCTGACAAATAAGCAAATAAGAGCATTTCCTAAAATGTTGAACTACTCTTTAAATTCAATGAGATGGTCCATATGTACATTAAATCATAAGTTTACTTGTTACAAATATTAGTGCAGTGTTTTTGTGATTCCTGTCTCTGATTCCTGGGTGAGCGTTGGCCTGAACATACAAAGGCAAAAAGTAGTTCCCAAGCAAGTGAGCATTAAGCAGGGTACATTATGTACAAGACAGTAACAGGATGTCTTTACTTGGTGATTTGGATCATGATTGTCTTCACTGCTGGTTCTGTCACAGCCAGATGGTCTGCACTACCTGACCTGAGTGTTCCTGACAGAACAACAGCAATGTTTTCAGTCTTCTCTTACTGAGAGAAAGGAGGCTGGCAAATTTTGGTTCAATGCAAGTATCAATAATAATCAATAACCTTTGGGTTTATCAATAAATATTTGCAGTAAACCTATGTGTATAGAGCTTTCCGTTTTCCATATCTGATTATTTTGGTGTGCAGTCTACTCAGCACTTCACACTGCAAACTCAGTCGACGAGTGTAAATGCTTGTGAAGTTTTGAGAAATGTGTATTAAAAAACTTTAAACTATCTTATCTTTACTCATGTAACTAAAGAGAAAAGTTATTTTACGCATTGAATTATGGTTCAAAAATTAATTTAATTTTGGACTGAAGGAGGCATAATTGTATTGACCCAAAAACCTGACAATCTCAGTGACCAACTCACCTCTANAAATGCTTGTGAAGTTTTGAGAAATGTGTATTAAAAAACTGTAAACTCTTATCTTTACTCATGTAAAGAGGAGTGTGAACACAGATATGTCCCGGGTCACACTGAAGNTTGAATTATGGTTCAAAAATTAATTTAATTTTGGACTGAAGGAGGCATAATTGTATTGACCCAAAAACCTGACAATCTCAGTGACCAACTCACCTCTAAGGCCCTGTTCAGACCTGTTCAGACCTGTTCAGACCTGTTCAGACCTGTTCAGACCTGTATTAACGTCTGTCTCAAGTGATCCAACCACAAGTGGACAGCTCTAAGTTCAGGTGTGAACACACCCAAGACACATTGAGGACACATTTGAGATCCCATCACTCAGACCACATTCAGTGGTGGTCTGGACCACATGTGGCAACATTCTTTTAGGAGTGTGAACACAGATATGTCCCGGGTCACACTGAAAGACCGACTACTGTACTGACGTCCTCTGACACACTCTGATTAGTCCCAACACAGTTTATAATGAACCCCAAATATTTTTGGGTTCTGAACATGGCCTACAGATTACCGACACGCTCAGTGAAAAAAAACAATAAAGAAAACTCTCCACAACAACAGGGGCATATTAGTCTGTATGTCAGAGGTGTGTCTGGGACTGATGCTACTGAATGCTCTCTGTGTCAGTTCTGTGCAACATATCCCGACGTTTGGCATTAAGACACTGAGTTACCTCTTTTAAAAAACCTCATTTCCACTTCCAAGTGCCTGAGGATTCTCATGATGTGTCTCTGAGGGAGTCTTGCCACAGTTTGTTGTGACCATGACTGAAGAGCAGAGGCTGCACACTTGCGGCAACCCACTTTACTCATTACTTGTCCTTTTTGCCTTCGTCTTGTGGGAGGGCCTGAGGTGTGGATCCATGAAGCACCAGCAGTCCACACAGGGTGAGACAGATGCCCACCCACCACAGAGCTGCATGGGTCTCTCCAAAAATCACCCTCCCAAGGATGGCCTGGACGCACAAACACAGGAGGCAACATGAATCTCAATGCTTTCGCTGAAACTTTTTGAGCACCATTGGAGATTTCAGAGAGCTTACTGAGCAGATGAAGTTAGATGCAGTGGTAGTGACTGTGGCTCTGGCTGAAGAGGAGCTTTGTTGGAGAGCCTTGGAGAAGAAGGTCCACATGACAGCATTACAGGTGAACAGCAGGCCTACACACAGCAGCCGCAGGGGGATGTGGAGCTGGAAACACATATACAGGTAAAATGGGAAAGCAGCAGTCAGCCACAGATGGGTGACAAATTAAAGGAAAACCTCTTATATGAGTTCAGGTGGGTTAAGATCTGGTTTGGGATTTTTCCTTTAATTTGTCACTATTATATGTGTTGTATGTATGTTTGTTTTTACTTTGTAACTAGTATAATGTCATGATTAAAATAAATGCCATTCATGAGGAAAACACACTTTTCCTGCAATGACATATCTACAGATTTTTTTTTTATTTCAACACAACTGAAATGGAGGGTAATAAGAATTAATTTAAAATGTTTTCCTAATAAGACATAGGCCTTCACAAAACACTATGCATTATGCATCATGAGTGCATCACAGTGCAGAGTGTGTTTTAGTGAGCGAAAATGTGTTTATGGTTTATGTGATTGACTCAATAAAAATCCGCAATCTGTCATTTACTTCATAGCTATGCCCTGGTCTTAATCCCATCGTACTTTTGGATAGTCATATTTATTTCAGTTTTTCCACAGTACTGAATTAGCACAAAGTGAGCTCCATTGTACGTGAACACGGGCCCTATGCGTAACCATGGAAACTATTCCATATATAACTGAAAGGGATATCTCCAAACTTCTGCATTAATAAAGCACAAACACTCCGTCTCACCCAGTTACAGTGTGTGGCTCCACCATACGTTTCAGTCCAGCTTCCCAGTGTGGACTCGCACATCTCTCTGAGGTAGTCTGCACCAAGGGACAGCTTTGCAGAAAAAGAGGCGAGTGCACTCAAAACCCCTGCCAATAACGCATGAAAAGACCCCGGCAACATACTTGAAGATAGGGAAACTACAGCCAGAGACCGTCCACTTCCGTTTAATGCCGTTGTACCGAACTTGGCTGTAATTCACCGAGAGGGCGCTCGCAAGATAGTCCTCAAAGAATGGGAGCGAATGGAGCTAAACGGCTAAAATAATTATTTACACCTGCTTCTAGACAAAAGCCCAACTTTTATTATAGTTCTTGCAAAATAGTATCGTTTATATATCAGAATTTAAATGAAAAATATTAATGCCTTTTTGTTTTTCTTACAAGGAAGGCGATCTTCCCCATAAAATGCTAGCATTCTGCTAAAGTATGCTAACTCGATATTAAAACGAAGAAGAAGAAGACGAACGAATAATGATTGGTTGGATTTACGACTGTTCGCGACAAAACACGTTTCTTTTACGGCGACCCCTACACAACCGGAAGTTCTGAAAGTGGAAATTCTCCCAATAGCGAACCCTGTGCTAATCTAAATATCTGTTTAGGCCTACGTTATATCTGTACGCTTGTGTTGTTGTACTGCTTTGCAATGAACAGAAGCAAGGCCAGTGGCGTGTCGTGGGTGAAACCAGCGGAGCCCTCCTTTCTTAAGAAGTTTAAAAATGATGTTGGATACAAAGAAGGGCCGACTGTTGATACAAAGGTATGTGCTGTTTAGGCTAACTGTTAGTTGTGTGAGCTAGCAGCCTGGGCCCAGGATAGCGATCACGTCAGCTCATTAGAGTGTATGAAATCTCATCGTTAGCTGTCTGTTTTGCCAGGTTTATATTATACTGTATTTTAGTGGCTCGTCTGCTGATAAAATAGTTTGAAGACACTACTTCCACATTGGACTCGTTCATTCAAACCATTCCTTTCCTACTTTTCTCATCCAGAGAAACGCACCCTGCGCAGTGAATGACACTGTTTTAAACGGGGTTACTTCATGCATAGGCTGGGTGTCTGGTAAAGAAAACCTGTTTTGTCTCGGTTCCTGATTCCCCTCTCAGCGTCACGTGATGCCAACACTGGATGATGATGACAGCGGGAGTGACCGAGAGGATGAGCTACCTCAAGTTGTGGTCCTAAAAGGTGGAGACCTGACTGAAGAGGAAGTGAAGAAGATCAAGTCTAAAATACGCACTGGAGGTGGTGCAGAGAAAGGTAAGAGTGAATGAGCAAGAACCGTTTATTATTGTAAATCCAATTAAATGTTTTAATCACATCACTGCTTATAAACTTGGGTTGCTGGGATTTTTTTTTACTTGAATTTAAAGTCTCCCTCTGCTCAAAAATATGTTATGGTCAATGTTACTTCTCTGAAGTGACTGATCTTCATTTTGCAGAATAGATGTTCAGAGTTTGACACCAGGACGTCGTTTTCAAATTGATCTGCTTAAATTGGAAAGTTTCTCTGTGCTCACTTTAATGTGTGTACTTACAGCATGATTTGTGAGATCACAACTGGAAGCCATTGCTGGTTCAATTGGCAACTTACACAAGTGTGATATGGCAAAGTGAAGCCGGTATTGCACCTACTGTATATTGAGAATGGTCAGAAGACATCTTGAATCCAGTAGTTAAACTTTTCCAATGGAAGATATTTCCATATTCATGTTCTGGATCACAGATTCTGGATTTTTCAGTGAGGGATGAGGTTTAATTATGGCTGCCCCATAAAAGTGGCTGACTTGTGTCTTTAGCCAACTTGGATTTTGTCAGTCAAATCACTACTTTTTCTTTTTTGTTGTTTTCTGTTGTTGTTGTTCTTTTTCTTTCTTATTTTTCTTTGCTAAAAGTCTTTGTTCAGCATAAACTGTAGGTGAAAAAATAATGCTAGAGTCAAAATGCTTTCATCATTTTAATCTCTCAAGTCATCTGCATCTTTCTCCACTGGTCTTCTGCCAGTGTTCTCAAGCTGCTTGGACCTCAGTGGTTGCCTCTGTCAGTTAATTTTTTTATTTGGCTGACGGGCTCTAAACTTTTCAAACAGATTCCCCAAAACTAATTGTGATGGCACTAGAGAAGGATGATGGAAACACAGGGCAGTCTGATGCCGTGTCTGTCAGCTGTGCTCTCAGCTCACTTGCTGACTTTCATCAAAGTAGGTTAAATAGAACTGAACCAGATGCTGATATAATCTCCTCTACTGCCGCCAGTGTGACTGACTGTTCAGCTGACTGCAGCACCACGAGAGAGATGCTCAGCATTGACTCTGAAAATTAAATTAATGGTATTTTTTAGATGTTATTTTATGGAAAAACTGTATCAGTCACAACTTGTAATTCAAAGCAGGGATTTTTATACATCTTGGAACATGCATGGAGGGGATCTTAACATGTTGATGTATGTTGTCAAGGCAACAGCAAGCATCTTGCCTGGAAATCTTTGCACAACTCTAAAAAGTGTATTTGTTTGAATGACACTCGTCCATCTTGTCTGCAGATGATGGACCTCCTCCTGATGATAAGATCATTTTCAAGAAACCAGCCAAGCGCTCCTCCTCAGACAAATTCCGGATCACTGCCAGCTCCAGCAAAAAGAAGAAGAGTGATGGAGGAGAGGAGGAGGAGAAGAAGAAGGAGGTGAAGCCTGGAAAGAAAATAAAGAATAACAGCCTTCTGTCGTTTGGAGGGGACGAGGAGAACGAGGAGGACTAAATGGTAGTGGTCTATAAATAATATTCATTAACTCATGTAACAGATGACTCGAGGGGGCTAAAGTGAAGTTTGATTATTGATAGAAACCAGGAGGAAAACAAACAGACATTGTATTCTGAACAGATACTGTCCGAGTTCATCACAGTGTGCAGCCTGTCCATTCTCAAGTTTCTTTTATTGGACAGTCCAGTATCTCAGTCCACTGACTACAAATAGTCTGTTTGATATTACAACTTGTCCATTAAAGTACATTATCAAAAACAACTCGCAGAGATGCAAATCACCTTAAGTAGGTAACCCATCACATGGAACAATTTCATTCCCCTTTTCTTTCTAAATCAAAGTTACATTATTCTTGTGTGGGAGCGCCACTTTGTACATTCAGGGACACTCAGACGTCCACTAATTAATTGTCTGTCTGACAAAAAAAGCTGTAGCTGAATGATTTGAGGAAAAATACTTTTTGTTTCTGACCAATATTGACATTGTGATTGAAATATCAATTATTTTCCTTAATGAATCTGTTGGCCTGTGTTTTCAGTTTACATAATCACAAATGTATGTTGATTGTACATCAATAGAATCAGACAACAATGCATTTGTTAGCATTAGTTTTTTTATCTGACTTAATGATATGCAATGTAGATGTAGAAGACACCGAGCACTCCTTTAGTGTAGTGTCTTCTTCAACTACACCATCTTTGGCCATGGGTAAATGATTCAGAGAACGACGTACAGGAAGCAAACTAACTGTAGTAAGTATATTTGTCTGAAACTGTCTCTTAAATTATAATAAAAGTCAAAGCTTGATTAGCTTGCGTATTGAAAATTGCTCATAAAGACAATAAATCATTCAACCCTTGGAACAACATGACATTGATGAGCTCTGTATTCTGAAAATCAAATCCCAAAGGATAAACAGAGTACAACTGAATATTGGGAAAGTATAGTATACATACATTTGGTCTACACACACAGACGTGTCAGTGAATGCACCGATAGAGGTGGTCCAGCTTACAGCTTCAATACAACACAAGTCAACATTGGTCAATAAAGAGGTGAAATAATGTTCCCTGTGATGGTTTACCTACCTCAAACAAACGTCAGGTCCACACATTGAGACATTTTATGAGATGTTGCAGTAAACAACAAAGTTAACTTGAAATTTTATTTGATTCTGAAATGTTTGGACACCCAGAGAAAATCTGTGGTGGTGTAAAATTAAGGTGATTTGTAGTTAATTGATTAAAGGGAATATGTAGCATGTTTTAATTAAACATTGCAGGTTGAAGCTGCTGCTCATACCTGCCCAACTATGGAAATCAGGAAACACCAGGTAGAAAATCAGTTGGACTGATTATTGGTAATGAAACGATTTGTTTGATTCTGTGATTGTGATTTTTTACTCTTTTTTTCTTCGCCCAGGTCATTGAAATTAGTTCAGCTATTTAACAAAAAAAAAAAAAAAAAGAGAAGCTGAGTAAAATATAGTGAAAGTGGAAAATCAACTTTTTTATTTTTTGTATTTGATGAAATAAATGTAAAATTAGAAATCTCTACTGGTAGAATCCAAATAGTGACAAACTTTTGATGAGAATTTCCCTTGTGTTCTTGGTGCCTTTCACTTAAAGAAAGACTGACGCAATCATCACAGTTACAGGTCATTCAGATCCTGGTCTCAGTAGCTCCTGTTGTGTAGCTGCGACAGTGCTACACACTCTTCACCCTCTCGTACACATTAAGATCATTTAGTTGCTTTGTGTTTGAATACTCCTGTTGACTCCTGCTCATTTGTATTCCTCTATGGTGTCATCAAGAAGTGTAACAGTGTTCACAAGTGGTGTGGAAGTGCTCATTGTAGAATTTAAGATACATTCAGTGATGCATAGAATGTATGAATATGTTCTAGCTTCGACAAAGGAGCTGTAACAGTTTATGTAGGAACAATGCATTGTTGTCAATGCAATGGGGTGATATTTTTTTAATGTGAATGTGTGAATTTGTTTTTATTGTGTTCAGTTTTAGAGAATGTTTATGGCTGTAACATTTGAAATAAACGTCATTTTACTGGCTGGGTGCAACGAGTCTCTGCTCCCAGCCATGAAACATTTTACGCGTCGGCTTTTTGCAGATCAAGAATCGAGAAACGCTGTTAATGACTGAGCTGTAGGGGAGGAGCTGGTGGTGTCACCTTTGTGTTTCCGTGGTTTCTAATATTTCTGTAAGCTAAGTTAACTGGCTGTAGCTTTACATTTACTGTACAGACACTAGTGGTCAAGAAAGAAAATTTCCCTAAACTTACATGACATGCTAACTTGCATCTCCATATCATAACATGTTGTGAGCTGCACAGCAGTTTGTAGACAGTGAATCAGACATCCAGAGGTGACTGAAGCAGTGCAGGTCTCTAGTAACATGAAGATTGTTGTATATATATATAGATATAGATAGATAGATACTTTATTTATCCCCCAAGGGGAAATTCATGTGTCCATTAGCTCATTGTTGATAATAAAAACAGTTAATAAAAAATAAACAATAATAATTAGATTAGTCCACTTCCTGTGGCTGAGGTGTTCTACAGCCTGATGGCAGTGGGAACAAAGGATCTCCCGAACCTCTCTGTTCTGCAGCGCAGTGAGATGAGACGTTTGCTACAGGGATGTCACGGTAAAAGTAAAGTATTTTCTGAATTTCATATTTTAATAGACATTAAAAACGAATTGAAAAAGAATTTATAAATAAACCATTTATCAATCAATGAATACTTCAGATTTAAAAACCCACACTCTATGGATGTGATATGTCTGGTAAGCTCTCCAGCCAATCAGAGAGCTTGTTACATCCCATGGCCAGTTGGGATTGTTTAGCCTGGTTTTACCAGAGTGTCAGAGAGGCTAACAGGAGAAGCTAAATGAAGCAAATCGATCAGCTAATAGGAAAAGCAGCTGGAAAGAGGAAATGGAAATTGAAGAGGGAGTCCAGGTACGTAATCCTTTTTTTAAAAATGCCTTTTCAAATAGTTTTTAAAATTCTATTATTTATTCATGAATTAATAAATGATTTTACAAAGGGTTTAAATGTTTTATGCTGTTTTTGTAAATCCATTTTTAAATCTCCAGTATTTACTGATGGATTAATAGCTCATTTATATATTCTTTTTCAATTCCTATTTTTAATGCCTATTAAAATATGAAATTAAGGAAATGCTTTACTACTTTTCCTGTGATATTCCTGCTCCATAATTGTAGTGGGATAATTGGCACTGAAAACCAACTGTGGGAAAGGTCTATTATGAATGAAATGAAAACACAGCGTTACTTCAACCCCTTTATTCAAAAAGGCATGTTTCATCCTCATACCTGCATTAAGACCATTACAATTGATGGAAAAAACCTAAAAAAAAAAATCTAAACAAAATAAAAATCCTTGCACTTTGTGATCGGATGCTACCCTTAGTCATCACATCCTCCAATGTCCATGTAATAAATAAACTCACTGACTGTGTGGAGCTTTATTTCTCCTCAAGGCCGACGCCACCCTCACCACCTGGATTGTCTTACCATGGTGTTCTTCTCACTAAAGCTCACAACAGAATCACAGTCAGCTCATGCAGGATGGATATGTTTATTAGAACATCTTCAAGAAACAGAATAAGGTGGATTCAGCTATAGAGAAGGTTGGTTTACAGAAGGAACTGCTGACAATGTTATGTCACTGGATGCATGATAGAAACTACAAATTAAAACAGTAGAAATTCAGCCAATTACAAAAAAAAACAAACACTAATGTGTGATGGTTGTTTTAACCCTCTGAAAGTCACGAACCTGCATCCTGTTCATTCACTAATCACCATTAACTGATAAAACGTAGACCTTGGTTCTCGGTCCGGCTTCCCTGAAGCATCTTAAACAAAGATAAATCAATGTTGTAGCCACTGAGCTGCAGCGAAACATCGATGATCAGAGCTCTCTGTATTGTTTGGAGTCCAGTGTGGTTCAATGATGTTGATGATGATGTTACAGTTACAGAATCATTTACGCATCTTAAAAGATAATTCTGGTTTATTACAATTTGGGTGTTATTTTCATAGTTTTGGTCATTTCTACTGGTAAGAGGTCGTCGTGGTCGAGCACTCAGGTGATCAGAAAAGTTTGGCCAGATCACTTAAACCACTTTAAAAAAGGGAAACACAAGTTCAGTTTACTCAAGCACAAGGAGGACGACTCCGCCTGTGAAAACCGTTGTATAATGTCTTCTATGGAGAAAAATAACCCTGACATTGAGGGTCGTTTTGGTTTGTGCTTGAGAGACTTTACATTTTTAAATGCAGGCCATAGAGTTTGAAAGAAGTGAGTATTTAGGAGGGGAGGAGAATCTAATGAGAGATGCTCTACAGTCGTAGGAGTTTTTAGAGATTGGCCCATACTACAAAATAAAAGTCAGGATATATTTCAGCCTCTGCTGCACTGATTTATTTACTGGAAGACCCCTTTCCTTTACTTGGTGCCAAAACTGAAAGTGAGTATACCTGAAATGTTGGGAATGATCCCTCATTTTAGAGAACTGTGTGTGTGTGTGTGTGTGTGTGTGTGTGTGTGTGTGTGTGTGTGTGTGTGTGTGTGTGTGTGTGTGTGTGTGTGTATACAGTGGGTCAAAGCTGAGCCAGGAAGTGTCTGTAAACTGTGTCACCCAAGTAAGTTTTACTAAGTTTGTTTACAGCCAGTCTAACTAACTGCGCACACTTCCTGCCGCCATGTTCCCAGGCCTCAGCAATGGAGAGCACAGTGTTATTACACACAGACAAACTATGAAAATCAAATACCAGTTTTAACAAACAGGAATTATCCTTTACTGCAGTCTGGTTCTAAAATAATACATCCTGTCAGTGCAGCGGTATGAGGTTGGAAGCACGGTGGCTTCTCTTTGTTGGCACATTATGTGTACATGCATTTCTCTGTTGGTAATGGATTCTGAGGAGAGTGTAAAAGAAAATTAAATACATTAAAGGAGACTACTCATCAGATATGTGCTCACTGTGATCTGATCAATTGACAGCACAGAATCAAATCACTGAATCACAGCTGGTTCAAACTAGAGAAGCCGGGTGTGGGCAGGTACATTTTTTTTTTTTTTTCTTTCTCCTTCTCCATCAAACATATTTATCAAGTGTGAGAATTCAAGACAAAAAACATTTAAATCATCCTACAATCACCCTTTGTCTCAGTTTGAGCAGGTCTCAGCTCAGCTCTGGTTTTGTAACATGGTAAAACAGTGTGTTATTGTGTGTGTCAGTCTGAATGATGCATAGAGCAGTCCCAATCTAAGTCCCTGGATTAAAGACATGTAATCTCTCTTGCTCTCTCTCCCACCTGTCACTCACAGCATCTTCAAGTACAAAAAGAAAAAGCAAATCAAAAAAGGTCACAGTTCCTCAGGTTAAAACCAGTGGGGAGGATCTCAGACTGGCCGACACCTCCTGTTTTCCGCCTGCTTCACCCTGCTCATCAGGTCATAGGTCAGCTGGGGTTAAAGGCATTCTCCTAGATGATGGTCACATTTCCAGCCTCCAGGTACGGACGCTCAGGATGGCAGATGTCGGGGGGAGCCTCTTTTTGTTCCTTATTCATCTTGATAGATGTATTTTACTGTTGCGGCGTGTTTTTGTTGAAAGTTCTGTGTTTAAAGATTTTTCCTCTCTCTCGTCCACAGCGTGCCTCTGTTGGTGGTGGGGTTTCTATAAAGACCTTGTGGTCAGTTTCTTGCCCTTCTTGAGGGGCAGCTTGTTCTTGATGTATCCCCGCTTCCTCTTGGCCGTCTGCAGAGGGACAAACCACCAAAAGCACAGGCCAGTAAAAATCAAGCTCTATAGTAACCACTTATATTTCAGTGTGTTAATAAAATGTTCTCAATTACATCTTAAGTAAGACTGTAAGACTTAAGATAATGTCACAAACATATCTGCACCCAGATTTAAACCAAACCATATAAAGCCCTACAGCAGAAGTTATTAGAAATGAGTCTTTTATACTCCCTTACCTGTGTAAGTTGAGCCACTAACAAAGTATTAACAATGAAATATTTTAACCATATATCTACTTAAATCAAATAATATTTTTTTTTAACCTACATTCAAAGAAGAAAAAATATAAGTCTGAAAAAAATCTGTGTAACTGCTAATGGTCCGGGTGGAAATGAATGATGAAAATAGAATTGGATCTTTTAACCACTGACAAGAAAGTCCCACAGCTAAACTGCGCCGTACTGCAGGCGCTTTCATTTTGCTCCGTGGTGAGTTTAAGGTCGCTGTGTGATATAAGACGCTGACAGCGCACGGTAAGACAAGACAGAGAAACAGAGAGTTCTTCAGACCATTGGGGCAAAGTGAGAAGTATCCATAAATCTGTCATTGCCATTTATTCCCATTGGGCTGCTCCTCTCGGGCCGTGTGCACGCAGTAAGGTGTGTGAATGAGTTACTATGGTTACCGCGACGCTGTGTGTCTCTGTCGCTCTGAAACTTGATTCAGTAACAGGTTTTCTAGGTTAGTATGCTTTTACAAAAATCATGAATGTTATTGTACCTCATGACTGAAATCTAGTGCTATAATTTTACATTTTTGTTAAACATAATTAAAGAAGAAGAATCCTCAGAGCCTCCTTCATGAAGAAATAGGCTATATTTAAAAAAGGGGCGACCAAATCATGGCTGCAACCAGTGAATAAGTTAGCATTATATCAGTCTCACACACTTTGTAAAAGTTCCACACGGCCGACATGTTTTGTTTTTGGTGGCCTGTCATACACCAGCGCAGTGAACAAAGTGGGAGGCGGGACTACACCACACAGCCACAGACACCAGAGTATTAACCAGAGGTGATCGATTTTAAGGTGATCGGTGACTAGGAGCATTACTTGCCGATCTACCAATCAAGTATTTTTAATGAAAATCGGCTGATCATGATCGGCGGCCGATTAAGTGAGGCATCCCTTGTTTTAAATGCAAAAAAGGAATGAAGAAAAGAGAAAAAAGGTGAAATACAACAAACATTTATGTGCATTTACTTTCCTGCAACTGTCATAATTAAATTAGCTTTTTGAAGAGTTGCGAGCTGTGTTTCATGTCCCATTAAAACCAAACCACAACCCAAAAACAGAGTTAAAAGGTGTGGTGTATTTTCAGTGTTGCCCAGCAGAGGGCAAAAGCTTTCAGTTTCAGTAACAAGCTGATGACAGACGGCCTTTGACATTCTAACAGTTTCCTGTGGGCTGGCTGGATGGACACTCCTGAATGTACATGTAGTTACACTTGTGGTTGATGGTGGTTTTCAGGGATGGACTGTTGCAGGAAGCTGATAATAATAATGTATTGAGATTTGTTTACATCGCTACTGGAGTCACACTGCCCAGTTAGCCTAGCAGCACATTAAGGATAACTGTTTAGTGTGTCCTCATATGTAAAATGAGGTTACAGCTACAAAAGAAGCACCACATCTGGTTTTGAACACCACTGATTTTTTCATTCACCAGCAGCTGGTCAGTGAGTCATGGGATGGTTTCAGACTGCAAATTCTCACTTTACATTTTGTTTGGATAAACTTCTGTGTGTGGATACCGTAAAACAAACCCACATGTATGAGTTTATTTTTCTTTTTTTTGCGTAAACTGCTGCCAGTGTTGCCAGTTAATGCTTTCCACTTGCCCTCGGACAGTTGTAGATAGCTGACGTGCTTCAGCTCTTACTACAATCGGGGGTGTGTGTACGCAGACACATTCCACTCTTGTGCACTAGAAAGGAGGCCTGAGGACTTCCTTTGTTTGTTGTGTTTGGTTGAACGACATGAAAAAGTCAAACAAAGAAAACAGTGTGTGCGGTACAACCATTTAACAAGAGCAGCACCAGGGATGAGAAATAAACAGTACATACACATGATGCACAAAATGAGTGACCAGCACAAGTCTAGCACATTGTAGTGCGGACAGTCTTCCGTCAGCATTGTGTCTTTGTGACGTAAATGTCATCTTCTGCCCAAGTCCACAAGACACAAGGGTGAGGACATTTCCGTCACAGAGACCAGTGCAGACCCTCAGAGACATGCAGACGTGGAGACGAAGAAAACACGACTTGGCCTTTTGACCAGAGTCCAGTGGCTGACAATGAAACCAACTTACCTTTTTGGAGGTGTACTTCTGCTTAATGGTGTCAGTGCTTCGCAGCTTGTGCTCCAAACGGTCTCTGTTTTCCAGGTTCTTGACTTTATAAATCCTGACCAGCCAGTGCTCTGAGGTGAAGGCTTCCTCCAGGTGTTTCAGCTTGATGTCCTTGTTGCCGATCTCGGCGTTACGTGTCCGGTCAAACCCAGGTGGTGTCCTGAAGTCCAACTTGACAGACATGAAAAGAGATAAAAGTTATTATTCCTGTTTGACACTATTTTGTTAAGCCAAGTGTGATTACAGTGTCATTTAAATCAACAATTTTACTGTGTGAGAGGAATGTTCTGCACAAGAATTATCAATACTGACAAACCTGCATCTCTCCAAAGCGGTAATAAGACATTTTGTACATAAGGCAGTTGAGGAGGGTGGGGGAGCCGGCTTTGTCCACTCTGAACTCTCCCTGGGGGGTGAAGTAGTCACTTTCCTGGATGAAGAGGTGAGACGAGGAGAAATAAGTGAAATGACACAAACATTGAGCTGTGATTTTATTTTGGAGCCAAACATCTTACAGCACATTTTATTTGAAATCCCAGAGAGGATATTAAAAAATGATATGAAAACTGTCCAGTGGTTTGGACCTTCTGGGCCAAGTTTCACAAAACACTAAAGTATATTTGACACTGATCTGCCATTGCAATTTTCCACTCTGTTTTTAGGATTAGGGATTTTCAGACAAGACGATCAGATGAACTCGTTTGGTATTTTGATTCCTGCTCGTCATCATCGTTCACAAGGCGCCAGTTACTTCCTGAACCCCAGCAATACAGGAGTGGATAGATTTACTAAGTGACTTTTATGTCATGGAAAATATTACCTGAAGAAAACTGAATTTATTAAAGTATGGACCAGGGGATCAAATATGTAATAAGACCCTTAAGGGCAGATTTTGTAGAAGTATTAAATAATTGACCCTGTATTGTTATTTTACTCTGACCTCATTCTTAATTTTATTATATTTTCTTCCAGATCCCCCTCAGACATACTTTCCACTGTTCTTGTGTGCACACTTTACCCCTCACAAACTATACAAAGTTCTTCAATTTTGAAAAACTGTGGACGGCTAGGAAAGTAAAGTGTGTTTTCCTGTTGTATCTTTTGTAATAAACTGCTGCCCCAAAATATAGAATTTAAAAAAAAATGATATGAATTCAGCATTGCAGGCAGCTTCCAGCTTCCAGTTCATATCTGAAAAGTGCTTGAACCTTCACCTTCTTTTCGTTACTCAGTGAAGTGACTGAAACACAGTGTGTGTGACTTCTCTCACCCTGATGTCCCTGGGGTGCTCCCCCTCCGCGATGCGCACCATCCACAGGAACTTGTTGATGTCATCGCCTGAGTAGCCAATCACGCCACCGAAGATGATGAGGACATAGTCGACATCCAGTGACCTCATGATTTCATAGGCTGCAGTCTCATTAGATGACATGGCTTTGCCCACCTGTACATAGAGATATGGTAGTTGACAGTTAATTCCAATTCAGTAAAACTGCCAGAATAATATTATGTGATTGTAGCGAAGGAGCCCGTTTTCTTTCATTTTCCTCTTCCTTTCTTCATCTACCTCACTTCCTTTCCTTATCACTGACTGGCTCTTGTTTTCACTCTTACCACCCCTCATTTAACTGACTGAGTTCACCTGTTCATTACAAGGTTATTTAAAGATTTCACTCCCATTCATTCATTCTTTCTTTTTACTTATTTTTTTTCTTTAAGTAATTTCTGGTGTAACATATTTAATTGGCCAGATTGTATGATGGCACTCTATGGTTGCTGTGATAGGACAAGGGCCCTTCCCTCCCATCAAAAGCAGCAGCTCTCACCAGTGCTATGTGACTGTTGTTCCATGTGTTGTTGTCGACCAGCGTGGTTCTGTTTGCCATGCCTGCTATCTGGTAGCCGTAGTCCCACCAGGACATCACTCTGGCGTGCTCATCTGTGTTCTGCCTCAGCCAATAGTAAGCCTCTCTGAAGTCATCCAGGATGTTACGGGAGCTGGTAGAAAAAGTTCAGAGTATTAATATTAGATACAGACTAGGGCATTACACAGTAGGCATTAGCTGACAGTAGTGATATGATTAATAATAATAAAAGGTTATTTATAAAGCACTTGTCAAAATCAGAGATAATAAAGCACTTCACAAGGATAAAATAACAAAAAAAACAACACATGCAAACAAATTACTCAAGATAATAAAATAAAAACACAAAAACAGAAACACAAGTAAACGGTGTAAAAATATGTGAAATATTTGCAATATAACAGCAAAGCCCCTCAGTGAAACCTGCACCACTGTGTATTAAGCTGTCAGTTCACTCAAATTATAAAAAACCTTCTCACACTTCCATCCAATGGTATCTATCCACGTTCATAGTGTGTGTTTAACATACCAAGGTCTTATGATATCTGTCTCAGATTTCTGCCTCCGCCCCAGAGGAAGAGCCTCTTCTCTAAGTAACATGTATTTCCAGGGCTCAGTCACAAGTACGAATGTCCCATCATGTTTTTATCCCTATCTTGTAATATTACATATTTCCTTATAGCAAGGCTGACTCTGATTTTTTTACTGTATAATTTCCCCTAACACAGCTGTAAAGTGCATACATACATACATACATAGGAATAAGCCTACGTTAAAATAAGTACAGTGTGAGAAATGCACACTGTGTATTATTCTCACCCGTCGTGGTTGTAAGATGCCAGTACTACACTGGGGCTGGAGTAGGCGTTGCTGGTGACCCAGGTGCAGTGAACAGCAAACATCATAAGCAGCATCAACATCAGCATGGTGACTATAGACTTGATGTTGGGGCCCAGGCCCTCCTCAGCTTTCTCCGGCTCAGATACGTGTTTACGTACCTTACCGGCCTGCGGGGGGGGGGGGTTAAAGGGGTTAAATGAGCTGTTAATGTACTAGAAGACTGTTGATTGTCCCCACTGAGAGAATCAACATGGCCTTTGACCTGTGATAGGTTAGTAATGCATTATTCCAAGTGTATTGATTTGGAGGAAAAGCAGCAAAAGGATGACAAAACACTGAACATCAGTAGCATCTGGTGTCCCTCAGGAAGGAGAGGCGAGTAATGAGTCTGATAACCTTGTCATAGAGGTTGCTGGCGTTTTTCCTGTCGTCCTCGTCGCTGCTGTCCTCCGCAGGCGGACTCTGTCTCTTCATGTCGTCGCCCAGGTAGTGTTCAAAGACACTGGAGAAAGCCACAGCTGACAGCATGCACACCACTGGAGTCAGAGTCAGCATCAAACGCACCATCACGCCGGCAAAATACACAGCGCTTATGGCGTACAAGGCCACTGGTGTGAGGAGAGCACAGAGAGAGAGAGGAAAGGAAGTTACCTTAATTTAACACTGTCGAGTCACATCACAGGTACAATGGCAGTGAATGGAAACACATGAATCCCTTTTCATATTTTTCTTATTAAAAGGTTCCAAACTGAGTGAAATGAGCTGAAGTATCTGAGCAGCACCATGATCAGAGCTGCTCCACTTCTCTACATGATGAGGAAAGGAGCTTCAGTGCTTCCTATCTTATCTCCTTTAGCCTAGGAAACACTGGACCTTCCTTTATGAAAGGGAAGGAGAAAATGCCGTCCTACAATTCCTTGCTGCAGCAACATTTAAAGTGATGCACCGTTGCAGTTTGACCACAGCAGAGACACATTTATGTAGAAACAACAGAGAAACGTCATCATTATAACAAAATACTACAGCCGATACATTAATGTTGTTTCACTAAATCCCCTCCCATCGTGTAAAGCACTTAAATAAATTTTCTCTACTTAAGAAATGTATAGAAATATCAAAAGCTCCTATGCCAGTAAAATATAAACTTGTCTGAATATAATTTATTCTGGTCTCTTGCTCAGTTCCTCATTTCTATTTAATTATTATTTCAATGGCTCAACTTTCTCTATTTGTATATTTCTTTCATTTATCTTTTTTAAACATTTCAATCCTGTTTGTTTTGTGTTAGTGGTTAGGAAAGAAGAATTTATCATCCAAGTGTTATAAATAAAGTTAGTTTAAATAAAAAATCCTAGAGTAAGTGCAGTCAGGTTTTTCCTAAGTCTTTATGAATTCTCCTTCACAGCTCTCCTTGACCTCAGGACGTTTTCCATCGAGGTGGAGGAGAGGTGGTTACAGAGGAGATTTAGACTTTTCGACCGCAGCCTAGAACTCACTGGCAGGTGGGAACACAGACAAAACAACATCTGTGCATGAGTATCTGTATTAATGGAGTGTTTTCAGCTGAGCTGAGATCAGCACTCAAAGCAACAGGTAGACAGCTCGGAGATAAACATAAAAATCTCAGCTCAAAATGGCCTATTTTTGTGAAAGCTTTCAGAGAGGTGCAAATATATGATGCTATATGATACATTTTGAATAAAGGTGGAAAAAGTCATAAGATATAAATATAATGCCACTGACAGAAATGTATGTTACTCCAGGAATAATTGAATATATTTTAGCAACTTTAGAAATGAATTCACCATCTTCTAATGGCTCCTTCCAGCATAATAATGCACCATGTCACAAAGCAAGAGTCGTCTCTAGTTGGTTTCATGAACATGACAATGAGACTCACACAAACAGACTCATTTTCAACTGCTACTGATATCACAGGAAGTCATTAAACCAAGAGGTTTGTAGTTGCACATGAATAATTCATTTAAAACATCACATAAAAAACAAATAGCACCAGTGATTCTAGCATGAACATATTTGTTTTGACAATATTAATAGAAATGAGTAGCTCATTCTACGAGATCCTCATAAGAAAGGATATATCAAATACATACGAGAAACTGTCTCAGTGGACAAGTACGACTATGGAACACTTGAAATCAGCCTGGCAGGATGATTTGGGTGGGGAGATTACAGAGGAGCAGTGGCAGACAGCCCTAGAGCAAATTCAGAGATGTGGAGTATGTGCAAGACATGGCCTCCTTCAATCTAAGATAATACATCCTTTACACTGGTCTAAGCAAAAGCTCAATAAGATATTTCCAGAAATAGATCCTGCATTTTGGAGCCGCCTGAGGAAATCAAAAATACTGGAGAAATATTTTTCAGACCTTTTCAACAATTTTGCATGGGCATACTGATTTAGATCAGTGGTTCTAGGAACTGTAGATTCTAACATAGTAAGATACAACATGGAACATGATATGGTATCATTTGTCAGCACGATTTTAGCACGAAGACTGATTTTACTAAAACTGCACCCACACATTTGAATCTAATGAGATTCAATTAAACATTTGGAACTAGAGAAAATTTTATTCTCTTTGAAGAAACAAGAAAAGTTGAATGAGAGAATGAATCACTTCAATAACATCAAATTATCTGACAAGAGTTCAGATGGTGTCTTAAGGCCAATCAAATAAACAAAGGAAAGGAATGTATTCAAGGCATCTATCACCCTTCTGAATTATGTTTTCCTCTCCTTTTTTTTCCTAATCTTAGGGAGGGATATGTATATTATAATTCAGCTCTAGCAAACTGATCTAATCTGTATCTATATCCGTGGTCAGTAATAGGCAGATCACAGTCCAGGTCTGGAATTATTAAGAAAATTATTACATTTTGATGGAGCGTTTCTACTTAAAACTGGCACAGCTTTTCTAGCCTTTACAGCACCCGTCACATGATGCTGCTCAGCCAATCACTGCGGCTCAAGATAGTGGATGAGATCCAAGTAACGTTTTATACTAAGATGTGAAATTGAGTTAACAAAAAAGAAGAAATTATGAACATTTGTCAAAAGGTCTCTGTTTTGCTCTCATATCATATTAATCAATCCATCTTTGACTTGAGGGACATTTATAAAAACAACACTAGTGAAAACCTTCATCCTTGTTGTGTTAGACACGGTATTGTAGTGATGATGCTCGAAAAAAGTCCTTATTCCATGACAAAGCTCTTACCAAACACGCGTTCATCATTGATGTTCTTCACACAGAACCAGAGGCCTGCTGGGAAGGTGCACACGAGGATGTGAAGGTCAAAGAAGAAGGACACCCAGGTGGTGGGCTGGTGTTCAGACACTGATGCTATAATGGGAATGTGGATCTTAGCATAGCTGTGGATAACATGGAGGACAGAGAGAAGTATGGTTAGGCAAAGGAAGAGAAAAAAAGACATCTTTATAATAACAATTGGTACCAAACAACAATTTTTTCAAGATAATAGTTTATTTTGTTTTTAATGAATTTGTACTTGAATCATTTATTGACAGCTTTATGATCTTATTGATCAGACAGCTGAGATGTTAAAAAAAATAAAGTCAGCTGATGTCAGTTATCTTGGGTCAGACGATGACCTCATTCCTTTTACTGCACTGCAGCAAAACCCAAGTTCCTTTTTTAAAAAATGCCCAGGCGTGTGTGTACACACACACACACACACACACAGAGAGAGAGAGAGTTTTAAGAGTTTTACAGCTGATGCTGCAGTCAGGCAGTTCACTGTAAGCCCAGATCTGGGAGGGGGGGGTGGGGGCATTATCTGTTTAGGATTTTATGATGGGGCTGAGTGAAGGGCTGACTGACTCACTGCTTGACCATAAAAACATTTTGGCAGCTGAAGAGAGGAAAAATCTACAGTATTGTTTATATATCTAATTTGTCTGTTAGATCTGCCTAGAAGAGGAGAGTGGTGCTTGAAAAATAAATGATTCCCCTCTGCAGATTCAGACTATATCTGAATTAATTAGACTTCCTGTTAAATCAAAGCGTGGATTAAATCTTCCATGAAACTTACTCCCACCCCACCACTTTCGATCTCCTTCAGTTTAACAGATTTATAAGTTTTTGTGCTACTGTATGTAATTTAAATGAAATTATTTATCAGCGCTGTGAGCAGGTGCTTTAAATCCAGTGCAAAAGTACAGCACATTAATTATGATGACTTACCCAGTATCCCAGAGAGAGTAGAAGCGCCCACTCCATGGAGCAATGTACCCTGAGGGTGAAACACACACACCATGTGGACTCAGGAAGAACTTACTTACAAGTACATTAAAAAACTATTTGCCTTTGATTTGTAGGGAAAGTCCTCCAACTGATTGAATGTGGAATGAAGTGACTAGTTCTACCGACATCTGTGTGCACAGTAACTATGTGGTATCAAGTGCAATTCTGCCATAAAAGAAATAAAAATGTGGCCAGTTCATTATAAGGTTTGAATAATTATTTTTCCTGACAGCTGTTCGGTCGACCAACTGTCTAAAGGACAATGTGAACCAACCTGTGTACGTCAGGTAGATGACGGAGAGGAAAACCACTCCAGCAGCCAGAGAGACTCCCAAGAAGAACAGAGTCTGAAACTCCTGCCTGGTCAGTCGGTCCTTCAGGTACTGCAGGAAGGCATAAACCTGAAGCAGCACAAACACACCTGCAGAGATACAGCCAGAGGGGTTCAGGTCTCCTTGTGAGATTAGAAGAACGTTTTTAAAACTACTACTACTCATGTCAAAGCGGTGTGGCCTTGTGTTTCTCTGCATAAGCCAGCCTCAGTGGTAATACTGACACATGCTAAGCTGCTGTGGGTGCTGACATTGTAAGAACTGTCTCAGGTGAATCATGCATCATGCATCATGGTTTGAGGGCTCACACACAGACTGTATTTAAGGGTTTAATCTCATAACAGATGTCCATGTGGTTAAATGTTAAATTAATCCTTCCATCTGTACTGTGAGAGCAGTACAGATTAAATCTTGTTTTAAGTAGTAACAATAATGCTTTTCCACTTTCCCACCAAAAACCCAGGTGACTGATTACTGACCTGCTGCAGCCATGTGTTCACTGGTCCTGATCGGCTGAAAGCCCACAAAGGGGATCTGCATGGACAGCACCAGGCCGATGATGTAGAAGGTACTATAGGCTGCAGAGAGACATCAACCAGTTAAAACCAGTTACACACAAATTACTACTTACAGTGATACAGTACATGTGAGTACATTTAAACCTACTATCAAGCATACCCCCAAATGTGTATCCTACTGTAAAACCTTCTTGAAATTATGAGACTGGTGATATTTTCTCAATTTTTCTTATTTCTTCAACAAATTCCATGAAAAGACAAAAAAGAGCCAACAATAAATCCAATGAATTCATTTGGTCCAACAACTCTTACAGAGCCTCTTAGCTCTGGTCGCTATGCTGTGGTGCCATTTGCCAGAAATAGAGGGAGAAACAGTTTGTGGGAAGGGTGGGTGGAGTCCCCTCGTGGCCCTGCTCAAGCAACATTTCTGGAACAAGACCTGGATGGGTGGGAGAGAGTCCAGGTGATTTCTCCCAGGCCATGATCCTGCAGTTAGCCAAGCAACGACAACGAGCTTTGGAAAGGCTGTCCCAGTGACATGGGGCTTTCCTGGTTGTGGCGTAATTGAGAAATGCGTTTTGTGTTTATTGAGATTTTCAGAATGAAGTGGCCATTTTTTGTCGTTTTCAGTGAGAAAATGGCTATAAAAAATACCTAAGTGAGATGACATGAGAAGTCTAGCGTCAGTTACTAAGTAAGAGATGTAAAAGTTGATAACCAACGTTGGATTGAGTATTTAGGATTTCCCAACCTGAGATGACGCATGTGCAAAGGCGACCAAATGAAACGGACTGTTATGACTAAAATCACAGATTTCTCCATGTTTAAAAATTGCTGGAAACATTTGGGATGATCTAAGTACACATCTCAAAAAAATGAAGGGAGCACATAATCATCACAATATAACACCAAGTCACTTAAACTTCAGGGATATCAATCTGTCCATTTAGGAAGCACAAGCGATTGTGAATCTGTTTCACCTGTTTTGGTGCAAATGAAAGTGACAACAGGTGCAATGGAAAGGCAAAAGCAAGACAACCCCCAAAACGGGAATGGTTTTACATGTGGTGACCACAGACAGTTGCAGTGACAAAGAGAGTCAAATTCTAACCAGTTCATCCTTGAGTCCAAGTGAATGTTAATGTTAATGTGCCAAATCTGAAGAAAACTTCACTTATCAATTATTCATTCTACTTTTAACCAGAGTCCATCTGAAAATGCAGAGAGAGGCCACCACAAGAGGGCTGCAGGAGACTGCAAATGACAATGCAGACAGTCAACTTGAGTGCAGCAAGAGACACCCCCCCACCCTGAATCCCAAGAAACCAATGGGACAAAAATGAAGAAAACAATTCTTTTTATGTTATTTACCTAATTCATGTGCACTTGTGTCATTTCAAAACACTACAATCTTCAGTCTCTTTTTGACCAGTGCGTACTGTGTTACCATCAGGCAGATGATGCAGAGCTCAGCGGTCCAAACTGAATCGGTTTAAGAACTTTGTGTCTGTATCAGTCAGAATTTTAAACAGTAGCCTTAAGTAGGCGGAGGTTACAGACACAGCCTCTGCAACTGCAGGATAAAACCAAGTGGATTATTTATTCATTTACTTATCTTTATGTTGATTGTTATTATTTTATGTCCATTCTGTAATGTTTTCTACAGTGATTTATTATTACATTGACAGACTGGACTCCAAATCACAGTACAAGGTGTGCATCAGAACATGGCGAGTGGTCAGTTACTGTGTAGCTGGAGGATGAAAGATGCTCATTTATTCATTTTACCAATGATCCTATTGGAGGATGCAGAACACACATCACCCTGCCTCATCTCAACCTTCTCTTCCTTCACTGTACTTGTCCTGAGTTCCTCAGTATGGGTTCTGTTTGATTCCACATTTCATAGCTTTCTTACCAAGTGGACATCTCCCAGTTGTGTAACTTTCTATATCTTGATATGTCATCATTTCCACAGGGTTATGAACAGGTATGGTATGTATGGGCTATTGATTTGTATCTGAAACAATGGTATAGTGTTGTGGCAGCAGAAGCGAGCTGCGAGCCTGGGGTCAGGACTTGATGCATGATCAGCGAGGCGAGTTCCGAATGTGCAACGAGGCTCTTTGATGGGAAGAGGCTTTAATCTTGTTTTTCTCTTCTCTTTTGTTTCCTGCCTGCGTTTCTACTCTTCATCTCTCTACTTTTATCATGTCTCCCTTCTGCCCTTCTCTAGGGGATTTGTGTAAACCTCATATCTGTCTCATTGCAGACACAACAGCAGCTGCTAATGATTGTTATTAATCAGCAGTAACAGTGTTTATACAGTGAAGATATGACAAAGAATAACAAGCAACTTGAGACAAGCAGTGTGGTATCCCCAAATCAGTGTGCGTGCCTGTCAAAGCACAGTTTTATGTATGTGTAGCTGTTGACTGTTCAGTTAGCCCCTTCATGTTGTCTGTTTATCCTGGATGTTACACACTGGAGGGAAAGGAAATCTGTGTTTATGCCATTGGATTAATGTGAACATAAATAAAGTATGCATTTTTATGTGTGTGCTGCATCTCACCTATGTAGACTCTCCTACTAAAGCGCTGCATGAGCAGCAGGACGAACACATGGAGAGGAATAAGGTTGATGATGAACACGTAACCTCCCCAAGCTGAAACCTGTGAAACAAACAACAGATTTAGTAAGAGCATTTTTTATTTAATTTAAAACTTTTACAATAACAGATGGTGCTCCACTGCTCACACATGTATGCACGCAAACAAGAGAAAGTTTACTGCTTCTTGTCACAAAGGGATTTTGATCCCTGCTGAATCTGTGCAATGCTTTCAACTGCAGTAGATAATCAGTAGTGTAACCAGCCCACGAGTTCCTGTGGGCTAGGAACAGAAGGGCGGCTGTGTTTTCTCTTTTTCATGACACGTTCACAAACACACATTCATAATGAGACGGGCAACAATAAGAGGCAGGGTGCAAAGCTGCACGGCCCACCTGAGAGCTAGGAAATCATTATGATGTGAACTATTCAGATTATGTTATTGCTCCCTAAACCCTCAAAAGGTACGTGCATGTTCAGAACAGCAGACACACACACATGCACCTCTTTTCAAGATTCATGTGTCTCATAGTGTCTGCGAGTGAAGAAGACGCACAATTTACAGCGTGAGGTGTTGAAATCATTCATCAAGTGGTACAGCTAATGGATGGACCATACTTATGAAGTGTCTCACTCACTCCTAGGAATGATGACAGTTAACTGAGGACTAAAAACACAACTAACTCAGAGCAAGTCTTTAAACTAATTTATGAAGTGTCCTACATTGACATTCAGCGAGGAGCAGGACAGCTACTGTTTTACATCAATCAGAGCCACAGAGTAGGAATTATGACGGCATGTTGTAGTTCTGTGATAGGTACTGTTTCAAATATTTAACAATAAAAAAATGCGTAGGTAACTGAGTTATCTGTCACAGTTTATGCTGGCAATAGAAAGATTCAACAAGACTGTGAGCTTCCACTGTCCAGACCGCACCTCTTGTTAATTTATGTATCCTTACTGTTGGAGAATGTTTCTTCTGTAATGTCACCTGCTGGTAACAATATAAATATACATAAAATAAATAAACCAACAATTTGAATGAATCCAGCCTGTTTTTGCATCACTTGACGATGGAGGAATGAATTAATGTGTGTATTATCTGAGGTGCTATAAGAGTGATCAAAGTTTGATTCATTACTGCTGAAATTGTTGGTTGTGACAGAATCATCACTGTTGCACAGCTGCATTCTCCCTCTCATAAAAAAGAGAAACATTGCTTGAGGACACTGTTTCCTGAGGAGGCATCATGTGTTCTCCTCTGCGTCCTACACAAGGTCAGTGCCAAAAATTATTCACACAGATTTGGGTTCAGTTTGGTGTTATCATTTGGGTTTGTTTTAAAGTCAACTTAGAAAATGAATGCAAAATATTTGTGCGTTCTCACCATGTAGAAATAGGACAGGCAGCATCCGATAGCCCAGAAGACTGATCCCGTTTTCACTGACTTCACCTGCAGTTTACATAGGACAGCATTAACCAATAACACGCGCGCACACACACAGTCAAATATACATCCAGTTTTGGGAGTGGGCTGGGACTATAAAAGTGAAAGAAAAGAGGAGAGGAGATGCTTTCACTGGACACTATTATTAAAGTTGTTCTGTATATCTGCCCTGGCATGTCCCTGGTCTGCAGTCCTGTGTATGTACATGTGTTATTCATGATGATCTATTAAGAATTTGTTTAAAATGCCAAGGAACAGAAAAAATGCTTAATCTCCATCTTTAAATCAGCTCATACTATGACATTTCTCTTCATACCACCAACTAACAGTTCCTTCAGCACTTCATTCCTGGGAGAGTGGATTCTTTATTTAAATCTTAGTGGTATGCATTACATTTTTGCATTAGAAAACACCTTTGATTAACATTGACCTTTATAAAATCACATGTATGAATGTGAAGATGTGAAGAAAGAACATTTCCTGTATCTAGTTTGACATTATGTTTTAACTGCAAACAGGAAAAAAATCAATTATCCTCCATTCTAAAGCTGCTTAATTGATTTTTTGGTTACTTGGTTTGGTTACTATGTATGAGGCCACCTGATTAATTTAAGTCAAACAATCACTCTCTCTTTAGCTCAGGGGCCAGTTTCACAAAGACAGACTTTGACTGTGGCTTTGATATAACAAATAGTCACTTCAGATAGACTTAGTCTAAATGTATCTGTTTAGTGAAGAGAAAAAAAAACAAAAAAAAAAAACTGTTTTTGGAAAAAAAAAAATGGCTGCAGTCTCTAAAACCTCCTTCCTGTCTATTTGCTGTCTCAATAACAGTATTAGCAAACCACAAATGATGAGCCATGTTCTCCTGTTCTTTTGTCTTAAAATGAGTCAGTCTTTTTTTTTGTGAAACAGTCTGACTTGTATTAGATTAATCTATGATTCAAACTGAGAGTGGACCAACACTACAGACCAGTCTGAAATATCTTTGTCTGTAATATCTTTGAAACTGGCCCCTGGTTTTATTTACACCAAAATATCTGGTTCTTTCACTACTAAATGCTCCACCATGTTCACCAGAAATGGGATTTGCTGCTGCTGTAAATGGGATTTATCAGAGAAGAATTTGTGGGCCAGAAAAACCTAAATAACTAAGGGGGAAACTGAGGGACACTGCTAATATAGTTCAAGACCTCTGAATCTCTACACTACCTCCCAAATTTATTGATAACCATTTCCCCATTTGTAAAAAATAACTGTTCCAATCACAGCTTTGTGGGAAGAACAGAGAAAGGAGACCTTGGATTTTCTTATGCAAGAGCCAGAAAAATAGTGACAGAAGAATTTCTGCAAAAATGGCCACCAGTGTGAATGCGATCAGTTTTGTTTTGCAGTCTGACTATTGAACTTTTTCCTCAACTCCTAACAAAGAGCAGACAGTGAAGGCTGGAAGGAGAACTGTTATAAATAGCTACAAAATGGAGGGACAAAACTAAAGTGGAAGCATACCCAGAGGTAGTAGGTGAACTGCAGGGCAAAGATGGCGATGCCTTCGTTGTCAAAGGAGCCAGCCACAGAGCGGGAGATGTAGCCGGGAACGATGGCTATGAAGCAGGCTGCCAGCAGCCCTGCCCCCTGGTTCCACAGCTCCCTTGTCAGCAGAAAGGTGGAGATGGAGGTCAGGCCACTGAACACCGGGGCCAAGAACACACACACGTCACGGATGTGGACGGTGATGTGCAGCAGGTTGAGTACATAGTGGATGAGGCCCGCTGTGACCATCAGGCCAGGATACACCTACAGGAGGAGGGGAACAGAGGAGGAAGAGGAAGGCAACATCATTCAGGCTCTCTTCACAGTAGTTTAATGTTCCATAGGTTTTAAAACTCATGGGTTATTAATTAAGTCTGAGAACTAAAAAAATCTTCTATATGTTTATCTATATTTAATGTGATGAGAAGCGCATCAATACTGAAAAGCTGGTGAGAGCCCTGAACAAGTGAAAATGCTGCTTCATGCATCTTTTCACTGCTGTGACTGCAAAACGCCATCATTAACAGTTTGAATGAGCAACTCAACACTAGGAGAAAAAAAAAAAAAAAATCACATTACAAGCTTGTTTGGTAACTCACGAAGGTATTAAACAGACAATGCGCTTCCACTAGCCTGCATCATTACCTCAACAACCAAAGTTCTGTTGACAGCTAATCTAACGTTGCTGTATTTCCAACACAACAATCAATGTGGAGTTGAGAGTGATTTAAGATTCATCACAGTAATGTGACTCTTGAGAAATAAGGACAAAGAAACGGATGGAACTGAGGCAGAAAATGTTCTGACTAGAGCTGAGCAATAAAATGATGTAGATAATTTTCATGAAAAAAATACAACATAGATGATAAAATGGTGATGTGGAAATAGTTCAGATTTCTAAAGCTGGAAAAACAGCAGAATGATAGGAAGATTGGAAACAACAACTCCCACTGACTAAGACAAAGTCTGTGGTCCCAATGTGCCAACACCAGCATCAGCACCCAAGTTCACAAACAAGCGTCTTGTGGTAACATCAGATCAAACCCCTGCAGCGGTCTCTGTCTGCTCTGACAGGGCCCAGACCAGGATCTGTTTTCCACTTTGCATATATATATATTCATTTTTTATTATGAGGCAAATACAACTAAATACAGCTTCTAGTTTCAGTGTGTAATAGCTAGCATGTGTAGCATAACATAACAAAATAACACAACATTGCCTAAATGTTAGCCTGTTAGCATGGTGTCTGCAGGAAGCATCAACTTACTGATAATCAAAACTCAATGATTGCTGAGAATAAAAACAAACATTGAGTTAGAGGTATTGCCACTGATTTCCCGATTCAATTTGACTCCTGATTTGATATCGATTCAGTTAGAGATATTTCAGTTACAATACCAATTTTGCTTTGATACAAATGAGATTCTCAGAGAACTAATGCTGAAAATTGTTCATTATCAAAAATATTGATGTTTACGTTACAAGTGGACCCCAAAGCAGCTGCATTAACACACTTTCTATTTAACATGACCAGCAGTTTAGACAGATAAAAAAAAAAACAACAAAAATTTAAAAACTGCCAGAAGAGTGAATGATGAATGAAAAGATGTTTTCTGTCTTTTCATGTAGAATGTTTTCTTGTGTGTTACTCAATGCATGATTGACGTTTGGAAATCAATCAATACACCTTAAATGTCAATTTGACAACTATGACAATTTTATTTGTTTTTATTAGCTCTCTTCATGACATACACTTTAGTGATGATCGGATCTTCAAGTGCTTAAAAATGTATATTCATTTCAACTGCATTATGTGAACTGCAGATATTTTGTTTTATTGCTTGGAGGAAAAAAGTAGCGGAGCGTCATTCTGGTGCACTCCAACAGCACTGGACCAATGTTCCTGTGACCAGATTAGAGATTACCGTGGTTACAGCTCCACACATCCACAGGAGACTGTAAAAGACATATTAAAAGATTGATCTTGGAATTTTATGAATTGATATCGGATTATTCAAATGAAGCTTTGAATCGGAGAATCAATTTTTGCCAGCCCTCCTCGAGTTGATTCGATCCTAAAATGAGTTGAGGAGTTATGTTTACAGTCAGTGTCACTCACTAAAACACACTGTGCATCTTTGAGGTGTAACAAACATGTTGAATGTGTTTCCTTTATCATTAATAATATCAAATCTATATATTGATAAACGATTTTGATCAATCACACAATCCTCCCTCCTCCCCCAACGTCACAAGTCAAATACTCACACACACACTCGGCATAGTAAACACTCACCGTTCCCCCTACTATCCTACCCAGAGGGTACCAGGCTCTTTCATCGAACCAGTTGAGGAACTCATAGAAGCCGTTGGTGGTGAGGTGGTGAGTCGACCTGTAGTTGAACCTGCATTTGAGACAGAGACGCAGAGAGAGGGCTGTTAGACAGGACGCCAAAACACACAGAGCAGCTACAAAGAACATCAGTGTCTCTTTGAAGTGAACCTGCCTGGATCTGGCTTTAGGTTTCACCAGAACAATCACTCAACTTTAAACAAACCAGTCAATTATTTTTCAAGCAAATTTGTCCAAATGCACCACATATACTTTTCATAATGTTCTTGGCCATCTTTAAGATATACTTTTGAAGTCATTTTAGGTCTTCTCCTAACTATCTGTTTTGCTTCAGTTCAAACAAACTCTGGTGCATTAGCCCGTTTGATTCAGCTCGTTTAGGCTGATGTGAAAGTCGACATCCAACTCTGGTGCAGATCAAAAATAAATACAAAGAGGGTTCTGGTCCCGTTTCTTGTGGACTCCCACAGGAATATATCAGAGGGAATGTGCGATTTTTAGCAATTATTTAAAAAAATAAAATAAAATAAAATAAAAATCAATTTAAAATCAATGAGCTGATTGTGAACTATGAACAAGAAGAATTATCTTATCCTATAGAAGAAATCTATGTTTTGCATGATTATTTGGCAGCAGTGCTACCACATCTGCCTTTAAGTGCTGGGCTCTGACACATAAGAGACAACAAGATAGTGTCATTGTTTTGGCAGAAGTGTCCACAGAGTAACTATTTAATCCTCTTTTTTTTTTTTTTTTGTAACAGCATAAACAAGAAATGGACCAGACTTACTATAAAAGGCAACAATGTGTGAATTACTTTCCTCGGGTGAGACCAGGTTAACTGACCTACAGCAGTGTTTCTCTTTTTCAGACCATGGACCAAAAAATTAAACTCAGGGACCACCTCCCCGAACCTGCCCAAAACCAATAGGGCCAACTATACTGTGTACTGTGGCAAGATTGCACAGAGGAATGTCAGTTTTTTTAAATTTGTTTTCAGGGATTTTGATGCTTTTATTAGATGGGACAGTGAAGAGAGACAGAAAATGCAGGGATGGGAAGTAGGGGACTTGCATGCTGGAAAAACTCCTACTGGCCCGGGAGTCGAACCACCAACATGCTACTCACATACATGGAAACACTGGCAGGATATAACACAGTACAAGTCTCAGTAGTGGTGACAACAATACTAGTGAAACTCGTCCATTCTGTGGGACGTTTCATTTGATTTGATGAGTCCACGATCTTGTCTGTTGTCAGTGTTTGATCGTTAAAAGGCAGCTGATAACTGGTAAAATGTATCTGAGGGCAGGCTGACCTTTACCTTCATCCACATTTCCTTTCAAATGTCACACTGATCATTTTTGAAGTAAAACACAGAGCAAAAACAACTGTAGACTGTAAACTGGAATAGCTACTTGAGTAGACAGTGGCAAAATAGTCGGTTAGATTGATGCAAGTCCAACAACACTGCAAAACAACATATTCATTTAATATTGACAACACGTATACACTGCTCCCTGGAAGGCTTTCGCAGACAGTTTGAGAAAAACTAAATTAAAAAAAATTATATTTTAACAAATTTTCTCACCAAAGGTCACTAGCAGACCACTGCTGGTCCTCAGACCACTCTTTGAGAAAGACTGCCAAACAGGTATGAAAGTGACTCAACAGGGAAATTAAAAATTATATGGGGACCTGGGTTTTATTTGAGATGCTTTGTGGTCATTGCCCTGTGTGTGTGAATGTTCCCATTGCATGACAAGGTGATTTAGCTAACCAAATGCACAATTTGATGAATGAATTCATGAATTCAGCCCTTATAGGGTAAGTTTACAGAGCATGTTGATAAGGTATGGCCAAGGCTTAGGAGGGACACAAACCTTGAATTAATTTTGGATTATCTGGAAAAACATTTGTTTAATTTCAGGCTCTTTATTCAAACACATCTATTGATGATGGTTTCAACATAATTAACCTGACAAATCTGGTCTGTTGTTGTAGATGGGCCAAGTTACTGTAGCTGTGCCAGAAAAGTTGACATCAAACAAGATTAAATTTAGAGCGGTTAACAAAGTTTAAAAGTTGCTGCCCTGAAAAAAAAAAAAAAAAACAGAAGAAACTTCAAAGTCTCAGCCAGGTTATGATCTGTCACAACAAAGTCACAGCAAGCAAAAGTTTTCAATGTTGCAATAACTCTGAAGTAAACAGATGAAATAATATCGACATGATGAAAAACAGAATAACTTCTAGCAGCAAACTGTAAGACTGAGGTTATAAAAGAGAAGAAATACACAGTCCCTGAAAATCATTGGCAACATCAGTGCCATAGCTATCAAACAGCTGTCGGCTGAAAGTACTATGGATGAAATGTTTAAGAACAGTATGAACTTCCTTACCACAGTGACTGATACTTTGAATTCTGTATGTAAATGGAGTAAAGAAAAGTACTAGGACTTGTGGGCAGGTATACAATGGATCAAGCAGCTAAAACAAAATATGCAATAGTGAGGTGAAGGCAGGAGCATTGCTGAATAATAGCAATTATTTTCTTGACTAATCAATTAATAATTCTAAAATGTCAGAAAAGTCTTCAAATGTGTTTTGTTCATTAATAGTCAAAAACTCAAAGATGTTATTTTCACTATCATATATCAGATCCTCACATCTAATAAGCTGTAAATGACAAATATGACATTTTTGCTTCAAAAATGACAATGAATAAATTAATCAATTATCAAAGTAGTTAATGATTAATTTTCTGACTAATCATATTGTTTCAGCTCTACTGAATAGTAAAACAGAAATTGCTTCATTTAGATTTTAGCATCTAAATAAGAAACTACAATCACCCCATCATGGTTGTCTGCCCCCGCCACTCAGACGAGTTTCAGATTACATCTCTGTTTATCCAGAATCATAAAATATGAAACCTTTGTGTGAATTTTTTTTCAAAATTGCTGTGTGAATAGTTATGGCTAAAAGGTGTTTTATGTTCATCCTCGAGTCCCAGGCCAAAATCATGTTTTGGAAGGTCTCCATGATTACAACAACCTAATCAGTTCGTCCTTGGGTCCAAGATGACATTTGTGCCATATTTGAAGAATTACAGTCAAGGCGTTACTGAGATATTGTGCCTTTGAGAATGGGTTGGACGGAGGCACGTTATTATGGACGGACGGACGGACGGACAACCTGAAAACAATATTCCTCCAGCTCTGGTTGTTGCTGGCACGGAGGCATAAAAAGAGAGAAAAAAGAAAGTAAAGATGTTCCTCACAGACATAGTGATACTAGCAGTTTCAAGCTAGTTACAGTTTGTTTCATGAGATACCATCAGTGCAGGACATCATTTGTCCTGCATCTGACTGACAGGCCCATAGTGTGGTGAAGGGAGGTCAGGTCTACAGGTAACTAGTAAACAGAGAAAATGCTGAAAAACTGATCGCTGTTAATTGAAAAGGTTGCTGGGGAAACTTGCTGCTAAAAACTCTTTCACACCTCCACAAACTGCTGTGAACAGAAAAGCAGACACCGGGTTTTATTGCAAGTTTTCTTTCTCCAGGGGCTGTATTTACCTTTTCCTTTCACTCCTTTTACCTTCCTGTTCTCCATCTTCTCACTCTCCCCTGGCCTCCTGTCTTGCTTCTATTTCTACAGTTGTTTTACAGCCACTGAGACTTTTAAGAACAACAATCCCACAACAGCCTTCTCTCTAACTGGACGGGTCGGGAGATAAGAGTGCGGCTATTGTACAAGCTATTGCACAAATCCTGCATCCAGCCCTCAGACAGAGACTGTTAGTCTGCTTGTCCCCTGAGCTCAAAATGCTCAATACAAACTGTCCCTCCATGAAAAACAGGAGTTTGATGGAGGGACAGCTGCAACGCTTGCTCAGCCTTCTCAAGAGTGAGTGCTAGATTACTGTTACATGCATGGGTGCTCATGCTCACTCTTGAGGCTCCGTTATTTGATTGAAAGAAAGAGGGGGGAGAAAAAGTGCCTGTACACACCACCACACACAATCCATTGCATCTTGAGTGCTCTGATTCCTGTCTGGTTTGACAGAATGCCTCTTGTTTTCCTGCTGGAAAGCAGCGGTATCCTAAAGCTTTCAGTCAGAAAAAACCACTAACCCACACTTGACGCTCTGGATGACGGGCTCTTGAACCTTTTTCAGCTCGAGTCTTGATGAAGTAAAATTCTATCTCACGCATGGGATCCAGGCTCATCAAAACACAGGATAGCTCATCTTGTCATGCAGACTCACCAGAAATAGACCAACTAGCCTTTGTGGAGAAAGACAAGTACATGAAATTCAATGCAGCCGCCAAACAAATCCTGGTACATTTCAAACTGTGGCTAGTGAATTTATCTTCATTTCTGATTCCTTTTATTCTCTAAAACTCTATTCAGCCTGTGAATGCGTAGAGGATCTTGATGCATTTCCAGATGCTTCTGCCACTGTAATAACAGTTTTGGGGTAATGAGGCTCCTAGTGCCTGAAAGCTCAAACTGACAGAGACTTTTAAAGTTGTTTTCCAAATGGAAATGAGCTTTTGGAGAATTACATTTTGTGTGTATCAAAGTCTTATATATTGAAAGTTTAATCCAACAAATTAGCAGTGGCTACGTTTTGGTCTTAAAGGTCAGTTGTCTGACAACATTAATGACCACAACTAAATATTCTATTCTTTTATGACTGTTATGCCCCAACCTTTGGGTGGCCCTAAGGTGCACACGACAGTGACCCAAATCAGACTCACAAGAGGCCACAACAAAGTCCATAGAGCTTATTTATCAGATACAAAACGCCCAAGACATTAAATTAAGACTACGAAAGACACAATGACGACGACAATCAGTCCCCAAGCCTCTACTCCATCTGATTCTGGCACCAGCATGTGACCTGCTGCTAGAGTACTTTTGGTGGTGACAGTGATGGTTGAAGCAGCTACTTGAAAATTGCTGGTGATAATTAGCATCAGAATTTAGCAAATCAGTGCAGTTTTCTCCAACCTCAGCAACAGTCACCTACTTGTGCAACCAAAC